GCAAGCCACTTCTGACTACCATCGGGGGCTATGAGTCTGCTGCCAAGGGAGACAGGACTGAGGAGGTGGTGGTACCTGGTGGACTAGGCTGCCCTTGTTTGTCTTTCACATTTATATTCTGAGGATGTGTGCTGCCAGCCTTGGATGTCCCAATGAACAGACAGAAACACACTCCAGAGGGGGTCCGCAGACTCTCCAGCTGGAATTGCACATGTACAGTATCCTTTCTGTACACCCATACAAGGTCAGAGACACAGCAGAGGCACATGGAACCCATAGAGCTGATTGCTCTGCAGCCCTCCGCTGGGCTTGACAGCTGCTTTCTGTGCTGCTGGGGTCTGTGGCTCCTCCTGCTTCAGGAAGGCCCTCCCCGAGGCCCTCAGGACTCCAGTGGGTTGTATGGAGGTCAGAAGTATCTAGACTGCAGAAGTTACACAAGTGTTCAGAAAACTCTCCTCTAATATTGCCCCAAACTGGTAGTGATGGGACCCATTCCTCTGTCTGCATGGACTGGGGGTTCTCAGGAGTCCTTTGCGTGGGGGTGGGGACCAGAGGCTCTGCAAAGGGAGTGAGTGAAGTCTACAGAAAGCATTCTTCTGGGCAGCTACCGGGCAAAGCCCCTCCTCCACAGCCCTGTCTGTAGCAGGGATGGTTTTTAGCGCCTGTGTCACCACCCTCCTAGGGCCAGGCTCTATCTGGGTCCAACCACCAGAGTTGGTTCAGGTTCCTAGTGAAGAGGGTGTCTGTGGGATCCTCAGAGCTGTCCATGGGCTACAGCATCCCTCCATTTCTTCAGAGGTGTGATACTCGGGTAAGTCTGACTGCTGCCCTTCCTAAGATTAGGCTTGTGGGCCAAAGGCATCTTGGAGGCTGAATGACCCAGTCGGGACTCTCCTCACTCCTGGGAGCCTCTCCCTGGCAACAGCCCTCCTGCTCTGCACGACTATCTCTTTGCCTCAGCCTGTCCAGCTGTGGGGCTCTCCATGCCCCTGACAAGTTTTTCTATGGGGTCCCCCACAAATGTGGAGAGAGGGGTCCATCTCTGATCTATCAGATGGGCATGGCAGGTAGACAGCACCTTCATATTTAGTGTAGATCTCTGCACAGGGGATGAGCGAATGCAGCCTCCACCTGCCCCTCCATGTGCCCCACAGAAGTCGATGCCTCAGGAAGAGTCCAGTCAATACAGGGGCACATCCCAAGGGAACCCATTGCCACCAGGTCCCCAAGGAGCTGCTGGGGAGAGAGAAGGTGGGACCCACCTCTCCTGACAGCAGTTGGAAACCTACATTCCCTGTCCAGTTGTCTGAGGTCTTGTTATACCCCATGTCTGAGTCCCACCATGAGTGTTCAAACAGTGAACCGGGGAACTCAAGTCCTTACAATGGGGCCCCCGTAGGGACTGGGTTAGCTCTGCCCACATGCTGGTCCCTAGGCTGGTTCCCACAGCCTTTACCATAGTCTCACTGCAGGTTAAGGGCGAAGCCTGTGATGGAAGAGTGAAATCAGAGAGGAGACGCTGCAGGCCCTGTGTTCCCCATGTCACCTGCCAGTCCTTTGCCCTGCCTACCTCTCCCCTGAGTAGGTTGGAGGGCTGGGTTATTGCCTCACGGTTCCTTGTCAGCTACAGTCTGGTGCCTGGGAGACAGAGAGAGGGCTGGGTGTGTCACTGAAGGAGAAGCTCCTCAGGGGTTTGTGCAGTTTTGAGGAGGTGATTTGTGGAGATGCAAGGAGTGTGCGGTGCCCAGGAGCGGCTCAAAAAAACGGGAGGCTGGGTCTCTGGTTGTCAGGGTAGAAAAGTGGGGGCTCCACAGGGCCAGTGGGAATAGCGGGTGGGGACAGGGGGCTGAGAGGTACAGGATTGGCTGCAGGATGGCAGACTTGAGGGTAGGGAACCACATGTTCATTCTGCTGGCCCGCTACTCCAGGTCCTTAGCTTACCTGTGAGCCAAGGCAGCCCCTCCTTCTCTGGCTCTATTCATGGATACTTCAGACAGGATGCTCAGGCAGGGCTGTGACCCCAGAGTCTCTGAACGCCTCTCAAAGTTGGTTGCTGGAGAGGGCTCCCCTATGCCTGGCTTAAGTAGTTCCAATGCTCCACCAGCCCCTGGCAACCTTGCCAGGGCTGGGGACCAGCAATTAAAGCCCCCTCGTTTCCAATTCGTTTGTAGTATTAAAAACGAATTGCGATCAGCCGGGTTGTCATTTCTACCTGATAAAACATCACTTTTATTGATCTCGGCTCACCCAGTGCCGTCATTTATCTTGCCCCAGCGTTTCACATAATGGCTCGTTTGTCTTGATCAAAGTGGAGTCTTGCATGTTTAACCCTCGGGGCGCCACAGCCTGTGTCCTCTCCATGTCCCCCCTGCCCTTGGACCAGTCCCTGTTCTGAGGGCAGCGGGTCCTGGAAGGCCAGGACCACGAGCCGAGGGATTGTGGAGACGTGGAGCCAGACTGATCAGGCTGAACTATGTCCCACCTGTGTCCCTTGGAGCTCCTGAACTTGGGGACTGACAAGTCTGATGTGTTCAGTAGCCTGCCTGGGGCTTGCCCCACTTCCATGTTCCTAGGCCCGTGAGCAGTACCCTCCTGGTCTTGCATAGTACTCTTCCATACCAGTGCCTTTGTCTTGATACAGAATCTCTCCTGGGATCTGGACCAGCCTGGCCCCTTTAACTGTGACCCAAGGCCACCAAGGGAGCTATCTGTCTGTGGAGTCTTAGTGCTCTTTGGAGATCTGCTTGCCAGCAAGTAACTATAAGCCCCATCCTGCTAAGGGCCTTGTTCTTGAGGCTCTGCCACTCTCAGCTCCGGTCCCCCTCCCGGCTTCTAGGCACTGTCTTCCTCTTCTCTCTACTCCCTCTGTCCTACCTGGGACTCCAGGAAACTGCCTGGATCAACTCAGGGACAATCAGAGCCACTTGCTTCACCGACCACGATTGTCCTCATTAGTTTGACAAGCCAGCGTCTGGCAAGTCATAGCAATGTTCTGGGCTGGAAACAGCATGACCCACCTAGTGGTCCTGTGAGGTGTTATCTTGGCCACCTGGCCCCAGTGTAGTTGCTGGCCCGCTGTTTCCAGGCTCTCCCGACTGCCTGTCTGGGATCTTGAATCCATGGGGTCTTGACTCCCCAGGGTCTCAGAGGCCCAGGGTCTCGGAGGCTGGCTGTTCAGCTGCTCCCTGTCATGCTTACTGCTCAGCTCTGCTGGCTGTGGAGGACTTGGTTGGATAGAGAGAAGCCCAAGGCCTGCTGGGGGTTCTTGCAGGCTTAATGGCAGATGTCACAGTCACTCTCCAGGCTGCCCGCTTTCTTTCACCAGAGCCTCCTTGTATGACCCTCGAGCAATAGCAATCTTTTTTTTTTTTTTTAAGATTTATTTATTTCATGTATGTGAGTATACTGTTGCTGTCTTCAGACACACCAGAAGAGGGCATCGGATTCCATTACAGATGGTTGTGAGCCACCATGTGGTTGCTGGGAATTGAACTCAGGACCTCTGGAAGAGCAGCCAGTGCTCTTAACCACCGAGCTATCTCTCCAGCCCCAATAGCAATCTTTTGTGTTCTCTGTCTGTCTGTCTGTCTGTCTCTCTCTCTGTGTGGTGTATGTATGTGTGTGTATATGAGTGTGTGGCGTATGTATGAATATGTATGTGTGTGTGTGAGAGAGATGCATATATGAGTGTGTGGCTTATGTATGTGTGTATGTGTGATGTGTGTTACTGGGATTAAACTGGGAACCTTGCATATCCTAGGTATGCAGTCTACTACCAAGTTACAGTCCCAGCAAAATAGGCTTGAGTGGCAGAAGACACACAACACTTCTGTCTCAGGGCCTCCAGGAGCCATGCAGAGACCAGCCTCTCTGTGCCCAGCTCTGTTCCAGCAAAGAACTCAAGTCCCCGAAGCTGGATGTGTCAAGTGTACAGAGGGACCCTGAGCTAGAATCCCTGTGCAGGGTACTCCAGACTCCAACTATCTCAGGCCTCAAGTAGGCATGAGGCAGTGGCCACTGGGAAGCTAGGAATTGCAGGACACATTTCCCAAAGGTCATAATCTCAGATAACGCCAGGACTGAGTGTACAGCCCCCATAGCTGACCATTTTGCCAGCACCCTACACACCTGGCCTTATGGCCCTTACCTATCAGCTTCTGGTGGGACTTGGGATGGGGCGGAGGAAGAATTTGGTGGCAGTTTATGTAGCAGATACCTGCTGGACCACATAGATACTTAAGAGTTTATCCTGCTTCTGTGAGAGGAGCATCTCTTACCAAAGCAGTTCAGCGAAGGCAGGAAGGGAACACTGGAAAGACATACCAGCCGGGCAGGCCTGGGGTATATGTACATGCATCACGATTCTTACACATGGAGGTAGAAAGTGAGGACCCCCACCCCTGCTCCCAGAGCCAACCTTCCTGTTGTATTTGCCCTGCGGGGTTCCATCTCAGGGTATCAGTAGACACTCATAGCTGTCTTGCCTGGTAAGTGCTGGGCCTTCTTTGGGTCTGCAGCCTCCTGATGAGGCCACACATGGCCCTGTCTTCCTCCCTCGAGCCTTGGTCAATTGGCTTGCAGTAAATTCTCTGCCTCCCAACTAGAACTTGCTACGAAGCCGCCTCAAACTCAAGGGGGCCTCTGTGTCCAGAGTGCCAAGGTCACAGGCGTGCGCCACCGTGTCTATCAGGACTGTTTCTTATTATTTTTGGCATAGATGTCTGGCAGGAAAATGTTTTGTTGAACAAATCCATCAGGCCTCGCCAAGGCTGTGTTCACGGTATGGAACCAGAGTGTCTGGGGCTCTTCTCCCCTTTGCACTCTGTTTTGTGGACTCCACCACGGTTATGTGAACTGGTTCAGGCTGGACAAGTGACTAACATTCACACCTGACTAACAAGTCCAACCCTAGGATCAAGAAAGGCAGTCTCTCCACGGCTCACAATGATCATGTGACACGCATACAGGAGGGAGGTAGAGTCATAATCTGGACTACTGAGCACCTGTACAATAGTCATATATTTATTCTTAAGCAAGTTATCAATAAAAAATTTAATAGTAAAATGCCTTTACATAGAGTCTGCTGTTCATAAAACCTTTTGTGTTTTTTGTTTCGTTTTGTATTTAATGTTTACATTGGAAAAAAAATCCAACCAGCTTCCTAGTTTACACATTTACAAGAACCGTGCTTTTTACCACGTTAGCCACAGTGGGGGAAGAGGGGTCACGCCATTTGCGTGTACACACAGAGAGAAAGGAAAGGGGCGGGGGGGGAACTAAAGATAAAGAGGACAGCTCAGCAGAGGACAGAAGAAACGCGGAGACGGCGGCACACAGGACAAACAGCCTTTTCTACTAGCTCCGGGGCTCCTGGGTACTGGGGTTCTGGGCAGCCTTCCTAGTACCAGCCTTAGCTCTCCATTCTTAAGTCACCGTCTTTCTGATTCCCTGGCTGTGAGCAGGACCTTGGTGGTCGTCTCTTCGTACAACCACCAGGAATGAAATATTGCACTCATGTGGAGAACAGAAACCCTCAGGGTGGTGCGACAGCCAGGAACGGGCACACTTGGTTATCCTGTGGGCCACCAAGAGTGACCCTTTGAGCAACTAGTGAGAAAAATAGAGTCCCTGGGATTGGGACAGACTCCTGGTGGGCCTGAGCAGAGGAAGAAAGGCTGAGGGTTCCCTGTTAGGGTTAGGTGCCCATCAATACTTCCTGCTTCCTGGGAAGCCTTGGCCTAGTGGGACACCAGGGAGCATGTGTGCCACGAGGCATTTTTGAGGACAGAGGCTTTTGGTCCATGAGTCTAGCCTGCTCTTTCCATCATGGGAGAAGTGAGGACTGCTGGGCTTTCCTGGGACTTGGGGTCAGGATGTGTGTACAAGAGGCCGGAAGGGACCCTTGTCTACTCTGTGCATGAGCCTGCCATGCTATCTGCCCTGCTGAGTGGCTATAAAAAAGGTCCAGAAACTGGAAGTGGGGTGGGCTGAGGGGCCTCAGGATCAGGGTCTGGGTTGACACGAGAGGAACCAGATGGGACCCCCCCTTTGGGTCAACAGCACCTGCCTTTCTACTGTTCTGACTCCAGAACCTCTGGCTCAGACTCATCACCATCCACACTTGAGGTTATCCAGAGGTGGTGGGGCCCTGGGGAAAGTGTCTGGTGGGAAAGGGGGGGGGTGCATCTTAGTGGTGAGAAGGTACTCATGCAGAACTGTGGACCAGCCCCAGATGGGCCCCAAATTCTGGCCCAGACAGGGACCTGGACCAGCTGCACCATGTGGAAGCCCTGCACTCTGGGAGGAGGAAGCCATTTCCCTAGAGAATAAAGAAGGGACTGAGAGCTGGTGGGGACAGAGGGGCTGGGGCCGGCTCCACCCTGCTTGAATGAGGCCAGGCTTCTCTCCCTGCATCAAACTGGCCACGGAAACGGAAACCAGAAATAACTTGGAATATTCAGGAAAGAAAGTCTAAACATCCATTTTTCTTATTGATATTTCAAAATATTTGTTCATTTGTTTTGTTTTAAACAGAGGTAAGAGATACGTGGCTGCTACTGCCATACTCCCGGGCTGGAGAATGAGCAGGCCAGGACTGGCCTGCGGGCTGATCCTGGTTTTCATCTTGTGATTGGAACCCCGGTCCTTCCAGGGGACCGCCATCACTACCCCCACCCCAATACTTTCATGGACGGGATGTATTGAAAGGAAATAAACCGGAGGGCCATTTCCTTCACACAGTTGGCCTCCAAGAGATTGGAGGGTATGACTGGGTCTCATGTGACCATCCCACGGCCTTTGACCTCGCCCCCAATCCAGCAGCCTCTGCAGTCACAGATGCCCCTGTTGGAATTCAACTAGGCTGAGAACAGTGCATTTCCAAAGAAAACCCCAGGACAAAACTCCTACACACACACACACACACACACACACACACACACACACCCTGGTCACGCATCCACCCTTGTCGCAAAGGTGGGGAAAATCCTTTTCCACTTTCCCCCCATAAAACTTGCCCACAGAAATACAATATTTACATAGAGAAATAAATAGACAACACACCTGATTTCTGCTTTCCCTGGTGGGAGACAGTCGGAGGTACTAGGGAAATATGGCTTGGATTCTAATCTCTCCAGAACTGCGGTGCAGTGGCAGAGCGGCCAGTCCCCATGGGCCTGGCCTGGCTCTCCCCCTGAAGCAGCTAGGATGGGACTGGGGGGGTCCATCCTAGGAGCTCTCTCCAGAGAACTTCGAGGAGAAGCCTGATCCCGCCTTCGGGTGGGGGTGGGGTTGCATATTTGCTCAGACCAGCTCCTGGCTGGCTGACCTCTGGGCTGCAGCCATGGGCGAGGGTGGGCAGAGGCAGAGGCGGCTCAGCACAGGATGGGCACGCCGTCGGCTGTCACCAGGCGCCCAGTAGTAGGGTCATAGGTGCCTGCCAAGTAGTAGAGGTCCTGCTGGTCCTGGTACTTTCGGCCCCGCATTAACTGTTCATACTGCTCCCGGCCCACCACCTGGCATTTGTGGGAGATGGTCTGTACATCATTCTCATCCTCGTGACAGGACTGGTACAGTGCATTCTGCCGGGTGAGGGAATACAGTGTTGGGGCCGGCCTCATCCGAAGCACCCCACATCCGGACAAAGACCCAGTGCAGGGGGTGGGCCCCCACCACACCCACCCACACCTCACCTTCCCGTCACTCTGCCGCTTCCCCAGCTTGGTCTCCTCGGGGTGGTAGAACCATTTGACCTTCACCACCATGTTGCTGCCCCATGACTCCCACAAGCTCTCAATGCGGCCGATATAGGGCAGGTTGGGCCGTCCGGCCGAAAGGAAGACTGCACAGTCGCCGATGTGTAGTGTTTCCTTGCCTCGGACGATGGCCTTGTAGAATAGTTTCCTGGCTTTCCCCTTCATGCCTCGCCTCTGCAGGGCAGACCAGCAGATACCGCAGGGTGAGAAGGGACCCAGGAAGCTTGAGAAAAGGTGGTGGCCAGGGAAACTGAGAGCATGCAGAGGGGACAAGTGGTGCGTCTCTGCATGTGTTTGGGCGTGCAGAAAATGGGCACAGGATGGATGGAGAAGTGTCAACCCCACCACAGATCCCCTATGAGGTGGGCTACACTCGGATTCTCTCTGCACACTGGTCATGATAGAAAACTTTATCAGAATCCAAAGGCAGCGACACATGAGATGCTCACTGCAGTTTGGTTTACAGGGTTATAAAAACCCCACAGACAGCCACACCTTTAATTCCAGCATTCAGAAGGTAGATAGGTGGATCTCTGTGAGTTCCCGGCCAGCCTGGTGTATAGACCAAGTTTCGGGCTAGCCAGGGCTACACAGTGAGACCCTGTCACAACCAAACACCAAAAAGCCAACACAAACGAACAGCAAGCCCACAAACAAGCATGGGTCCCCTGAAGATTGGTTAGCAGGAAAGGGTCCTCTGGCCATAGCCAAGAGGCAGAGCAGCACAGAAAGCAAGCAGAACACACACTCCCAGTGTGCAGGTCACTCGTGTGCCAATCACAGTGCTGGCCATTTCTCTCATTAGGTTACTGGTGGGTTTCTGTTGTTGATTGGGGGTTTCCAAATGGTTTAAGAAAATAAAAATTAAATATTTAACAACAAAACAAACAAACAAACAAACAAAAACAGCATTCAGGAGACAGAGGAAGATGGCTCTGATTTCAAGGCCAGCCTGGTCTATTGAGGGCAGCCAAAGCTACATAGAGAAACTACAGGGGGGAAAAGAACTTAAAAACCCAAACCAACAACAAACCTAAAACAACGAAAACTACGTGTATGTGCAGATCCTCCTGTGGCTAGAGTCATGGACAGTTGTGAGCTGCCCAATGTGGGTTTGGGAGACAGGCTACCTACCTGTGTGGGGTTTCCTGACCACTTCCAGAGCTGGCGAGCAGGCAGGAAGGCTGAGATCTTTGGCCGGTTTTCTACGGAGGGTAGCCGTTGCCTCCGAGAAAGCTCTTTGGCTTTGGAGAAGCTCAGGGCCTCCTTGCGCTTGAACTTGGATTTGCTACCACTGGGGCCAGCACCTGCACCTGCCACTCCAGCTCTGGACAGGAAGCAGCGCTGGGCGTGGGCGTGGGGGCTGCTACCCTTAGAGCGTAGGGCTTCTGGTGGGGCCAGGAGGGCGGGTACAGGGCGGGTGAGACAGGTCTGCAGCAGCAGGGTGGGGTCCTCGTCATCGGAGCTGTAAGAGGAGTCCTCATTGTCTGAGGAACAGAGGCTGGAAGTGGACACGGAGCCTGAGGAAGAGGACGTGGACGAGCCAGAGGACGACGACGACATGGATAGGCGGGTGAGGAATCGGGAGGGAACACCGGCGGCTAGCCCCGGCCCATCCTCATCCTCATCGGAGTAGGAGCTGGGACAGTCACTATCACAGGGCAGCGGGTACTTGCGCAGAGCCAGTCCCATGGGTAGCGGATGCACGGGTGCCCGCCCCTTCTTGTCCTTGCCGATGAGGGCCGGGTGTGCATAACTGGGGCTGGCCAGAGGTCGCCCCAGCTTGGGTCCAAAGTCCTTGTCGCTCATGAGCAGGGCCTTGCAGTTTTTGTTCTTGGGAGACGTCACACCCTCATGGTCCAGCTTAACCAGAAACTCGCTGCCTGCCCGCCGCCTCCCAGCCTTTTCTACTTCAGCCCGCTCAGCCTTCTTGGCCCGAAGCAGCTTGTGGGCCCCTCCGGGAAGGCCTGCCCCAGCCCCTCCAAGGAAGGGTGTGTAGGAACTGGCCAGGCTGCTGAAGGAGTCAGCTCGGAAGCTGTTACCAAACACAGGGGCAGCCATGCTATGCATGGGAAACAGGGTGTCCCGGGCCCGCAGCTTCTTGGTGCTTCCGTTGAGCTGGAAGAGGTTCTGCAGGACCCCTGGCCCTTTGCCACCTGCTGCTGCCGCCGCAGCCACCGCTTTCCGCTTGGTCTGAGCCACTGCTGACCAGCTCAGCAGGGGGCTACCTCTGCGGCCTAGGAAGTGGTCTGAGGCCCCCGTGGGGGACTTGGCACCTGAGGTTAGGAGGTCGACTTTGCCTGGGGGGGAAGCCAGGTAGGGTCAGCTGTACCTGCTGGGCCCATCCAGCTGTCTCCACTCATCCCTCCCTGACCCCAGCAGGCCCCATGCGCCTCCCAGTGACCACACCCCCGGGGGCCCTCCCTTCCCAGTTCTCAACAGTTCTGCAAATACCAGCTTTGTCTTTGCTGCCAGATTTCTTCCCAGGGGTCTTAGAAGTTTCAGGGCCATCCTGCACTTTAGGGGACAGGCTGGGAGTGGGGGCTTCGCTGGGTGGGTGGCCCTCATTGGCTGCTTTTTTGGTCCTCCGGCAGCTGCTGGATACCAACAGGGCTGGCGAGGGCTCTGTACCTGTGGAGTGGACAGAGGGGCTCATTACCGGCCTGTCGGTAGGTGGCTACCACCCTTTGCGTCACACTGGGAAATCTCCACTTTGGGGAGGCTTCTGGGAGCTGTTACAGGCAGGGGGAGCCCCACCCTTAGGTTAGATATTCCTGGGGTGCTCACACTGAATCTTGAAGTCCGGAGGCAGCAGCCTGATGTTGGAGACAGCTATGTGGCCTGTGTCTCCGTCATCAAATTCTACCACCACAGAGTCCAGGTCTTCTTCATCGCTAGAAGCACCTGCAATGGGGCGTGTCCCGCATACATGGTCAGCCCAGCTCACCAGAAGGCAGGGAGGGCAGGAGGACCACAGGGGTACTGAGCAGGGTGCTTCTGCAACCTCACTACACGGCAGCCTGATGAACCAACACTGCTCTCCTTGGCTTCCTGGTATTCTATCCACTGGTCCCACACACAAGCAGACACACGCTCTGGCTCCCTACACATGTACACGGGGGCAAAGACATCCCTCCACGTTTCCTCCCACAAGTGTCCAATAGACTTGCCTGTCTGCCTATTCATCTGTAGACCTTTAGTCAGTCTTCCCACCCCGAGGGCCCTACATGCTGTTCTGTCCAGGTATACCGGGATGGACACTTCACACGACCCAGGCATGTGATTCTGGGTCCTTTTCTTGCTGGGCCTGCTCTGATTAGCTGAACATGGGCCCCCTCCTACTTCACCCTCTGACTTCCTCATGGCTGCTGGTGAATTGATCTTACTGGTGTCACTCAGAGCTGACCCAAGTCTGTCTCTGTCCAATCTCCAGGATAGCTGGGCTGTGGTAAGAGCTCTGAAGGTCACAGAGGGGCCTTGGCCCTAGTCCTGGCTTTGAGCTTGCTTACCTCGAACCACGTTGCCTGGATACAGGCACCGGGACTTCTGACTCCAGTAGGCACAGACCCGGGTACCAGGTGGAAGGTACCGACTGGACTGTGGCCGGACATCAAGAACCTGTGGGGAGCCGCAGAGCGGTAGCCTGTGAACAGTTGGGTCTGGCCACAGGGTTCAGGGTAGAGGAAGGCCAAGGTCCTCCTGGTGGTGGGGAGAGCCACCAGGCCTGTTCACGCAGGCATGCTTACCGCCTCCTGCAGCAGCTGTTCCAGTGAGTAGATACGCTGCCGGTTGCCTCTCTCTCCCTCAATGATGATGCTGTAGCTGAGGGCATGGAACGGGTGTGTGAGGTTCCCTCAGGAGTCTCACTGCCCAGTGTGTCATAACTAGCATGCACCCCTCCCACTCAGGCTGGGCCTCACATATCGGGGGGCTGCAGAGTCCTGACACTGCCTGCATACAGCAGACTATCCTCCTTTGGAATCAGCACTGGCAGTCCGTCCTGCAGGTCCTCCTTGTGGATGGTGCAGGACCGTGCTGTAGGGGAAGACATCAGCACTGGGCCCTGGACCCACCTACCCACCCACCCACCAACCCACCATTCCCTCCCCGGGCAGCTGCCATCTGTCTCTTCCTTACCCAGGGCGGCACTCTGCTCTGCACTGAGCTGGACGCTGGCTTCCTCCTCTTCCTCCTCCTCATCTGAGAAGCTGCTGTCATCGTCAAACTCGAAGTCATCCTCCACAGCGAAGCTCTCCAGCAGGCGGCTCACGGCTCGGCCTTGGCCCTGGGTGGACCACAGGGGTCAGGGGAGGAGGCTGGGAGGGGCTGGGCCCCCACTAGGCCCCCGGCCTGGGAGGGCTGCTACCTGTTTGTTGACAGCCTCTCTTTTCACCTTCGTCAGTTTTCTGCTCTTTCCCAGGATGGCCTTGGCATTGCGGGCTGACAGGGCGATGGACAAGGCCCCATTCTTCCGCTGGTCAGAAAGGAGGGACAGAGAGAAGCAATGAGGATCGGATGGCTTTCCTGGTTAGCATAGGAGGAAGCTGTGTCATCCTCTTTGGGATGCCCACTGACCGCGAGGTTTACTCGACCACTAACCTACCCTCAGGACTGGCTGCAGCATGGCACTCTTGCGCGTGGCTCTCTTGAGGCGTTCACTGGCAAGTTTGCTGCCCTCCTCTCGGCAGGCAAAGGTCCGGGTGGGGCTGAAAAGGGCATCCCTGCTGGTGGCCGTCCCAGGCTCTGTATGAAGGCCAGTTTTCGCCTTGCCCTTGGCTTTCTTCTTGCCTGGTGCACCCGGGGGCCGCCGCCCTGGTGCCCGCTCCAGCTTGGGGCCCACCTTGGTCTTTACTGTTCGCCTCTTGATCTTAACCTCGCCTTCTGGGCTGGACAGGCGGCAGGCCCCTGTGGAAGGGAGGGAAGCGGTCACTGGGACACTGGTTATAAAGGCCCCTGTTCCCACTCTGCTCTGGATTCTCAGTTACCTAGCAAGCCCTGCCTCTCCTTTTTCTTCTTGGCCTTCTGGTTGGCTTCCATCTTGACCACAGAGGAAGGTGAGGGTCCCAACACTGCCATACCAGATCCTGGGTGCAACAACAGTCCAGGCTCCCTGGGTGCTGCCTCTGTCGCCAGGAGTGCCTGGCAGTCCTCACTGTCATAGCCGCTACCTGGGGGACAGCAGAGAAGACTCGGTGACTGGTGTTGGACCTGACTATTTGGGGTAGACATAGGGAGTGTGGCCAATGAAGACACTGTCATCTTCTGGGCTGCTCAGGGGTGGGCACTAAGCCGTACCCCAAGAGTTTGGCAGGAAGTGGGGACCACGGTGTTCTCTCTTGCAGTCCCACCTTGAAGAACTGGGCTTTTCCCTGGGGAGTCCCTCCCTCTTTCTGTATCCTCTGGCCCAGCTGGCCCCAAGCTTCCTGCCCTGAAGCAGTTACTTCCTCTTGCCCTCTCTCAGCCTCAGACCCTGGAGGAGGGGCTGGGAGGGAGGGAGGAAGCATCTATTTTTCCAGGCTCTCTCTTGACTTGTCTGCTGGGGAAGGAAGAGATACCCCACCAACCTGCCGGATGCTGCAGGGCAGAGGTGGGGAGGGGCTATTTTTAACATGATTTGCAGGGTGTGTCTAGGGCTTCTTTCTGCCCTGAGAAGCAAGTGACTGAGCTCTGGCCTGGGGACAAAGGCTCTTTCCTGACCTTTCACAGAAAGTTGTCCCTGGGTCTGTCGATTTTACAGACTTCATCTGGAGGTTATGACCCCTGCACACCCGTCCTTCAACCCTCAGGTGACCAAGGCCTAAGTTCCAGTCACTCACACCACCAACTTGCCTGCCTCATGTGCCACAGATACTGTTGGCTGGGCTTGGAATTTCGCCATCTCCCTGCCACCATCCCCATCAGGGTGCGGATGCCGTGCCGCCCCTGACACTTTGACACTCTTGGCTCTAGAGAGCTTCTTCCGGATGCGCCCACCTGGGGCAGCCTCTTTGCGCTGGAAGGCACTGAGGCCGGCAGGCAGCCCCTTGCCCTTGACCTTTGGCTTCAACTGGGCCACCTTATGGGCCACTGAGGATGACAACTCGGCCTGGCCACAGGTCTTCTTGCATTGCACCTTCTCCTGTGAATGAGAGGCGAAACTGTCACCCACAAGTTGACTCCTGCCTCAGCCCTGGGCCTGTGGGTTTCGTCTATCATGGTGGGGCCCAGAAAACAGCACCTCTGGGAACTTGTCTTGAAAAGGACTCTGAGGACATCTGGCTTTGGCTGCTGGAGCAAACACCACGCCTACCTTAGCGCCCCCACCCACCCACATTTAACTTCATATGGTAGAACAGGTGGGGCCCAGGAGTATAGCATGGGTATACAGTTTGCTTTTGTGAAAAGGAAAGATTTCAAAGAAGAGTCCTGAGGCAGAATAACCCACCTGTGCCTACAGTGCATAGAGATATGGGAGGAGGGCTGCAGGTTCAAGGACAGCCTCATCTACAGAGCAAGTTCTAGATTGTCAGGGAACACGGAGACTGAAACAACCACCACCACCACACACATGCCAAAATAAAGCAAGCAAAAATAAAACCAGCCTTCTGACATGGAAGGGGACAGACGAGGTAACAATAGGTCTGGGACCTTGGAGAGAGAGAACACTGTCAAGATCCAGGATTCCATGGGGCACTGTAGACCTGGTGTTCAGAGCCAGGCATTCTGGATCTCCATCTTCAGTACACTACTGTGTGTGTGTTTGAGTGTGTGTGTGTGTGTGTGTGCACATGCCCATGCAAGCATCGGAGAACTAGCCACACTGGGAAATCTGTGTCCAGTGTGCCGGAGGCACAGTCCCTAGTTACTACACCTGCAAATCTGTGGCGTCATTTCCTTTAACCAAGGTATGTGAAGCTCACCAAACCGTAGCTGGTTCACCCGGGCTAACACCAGGTACCCATTCCAGCATCTCATGTATGGTGAGGGTGAGGGTGAGGGTGAGGGTGAGGCCTGGAGACTCACCGACGAGACCGTCTGCAGGCCAGTGTAAGGACTCTTTTCCAGTTTGCTTCTCTTCCTTGGGGGCTCGTCACCTCGGAGCTCAGCACACAGCAGACTTAAACTGGCACGAACAACCCTAGGGGAAGGCGGTGGTTGGTACAGCAGCAGGGCCTGGGCATCGGGATCCCGCACACAGTCACTATGGTGTGTCCTGAGGGGCAGACCACGTATGTGCAGGAAATGGCCTCCTGTCTCGCCTGCTAAGAGCAGGCCCTTTGGGGTGTCCTGTCTGCCTGCTGACCACCAGCTCCCAGTGGTCCCTGGGGGTGTCCCGTCTGCCTGCTGACCACCAGCTCCCGGTGGTCCCTGGAGCCCTGGAATCCTGACCCACCACCTTCAACATCCCCATGTTCCAGGGTGAGCTATCTCATCTAGGCTGGTAGTTGGGTCAGGGGTCAATAGTGAGAAATCAACAAGAGGGATCCTGCCTGATCCCCCCCAACACCCTCCACTATCGTGCCATGTGGGCAGACATGTCTCCCTGGCACCCCAGTGTGTTCAATGTGTGATTTCATTTCCTTCCTAGTATTCCCTCCCCGTGAGGAAACCATCACTGCCTGTTTGCCCACCGCTAGCTGGGCTGGGGTTTAGCCTTCCACCCATCAACCCTTTAGCTCTCACAGAGACAGAAGGAAACTGGCTGCTCGTGAAAATGAATGGCAGACAGGGACCAAGGGCCTGGCCCTGACCTCATATGGCCAGACACCGCTCTCCACCTTCCTGTCCAACAAGGAGGCTGGACCTCTGAAGGCAGGGAAGGCCAGGCAGGAAGTCCCTGCAGCTCTGGGGGCCTCCTTGACCCCAGCTTCCTGCCACCTTTCCTGGCCTCCCACTTCCTGCACAGAGGAGGCCCAGCCCTCGGGCCCAAGGCCTACTGCCCTCACTGGGTTCTGGAACATAGCCTGAGAGCCTGGACAGGAGCTGGAGCTGGGGAGGAGGTCAGGAGACCCACTCTTTGGAAAGAGAGGGCTGTGGCCGAGGATCCTTCCCTACCCTAAGGCTTCTGGGTTCTCTGGGTCGGAGGTGACTTGGCTACAGGGTTAAGCTTACTTGCTGGGATCTAGGATAGAGTCCAGCACGGGCAGTATTGCCAGAGCTAGGGAGGTTTGGGGTGTCCACCACTACCATTTAGCAGGCTGTCCAATGCCCTCCACTGGACCCCAACTTCCAATGGCCCTATCCTGCTCAGCACCCCGAAGGTTTCAGATGGGTTCTCAAAGGGACCCTCATGCTCCCTGCCGGGTGACACCTGGGTAGGGGCAACAGGCCATCTTGGTGAGGCCCCGAGCCATATGGTGAACCCTCTCCGTTGCCTGTAGCCCACACAAACTCCCCCACCCCATAACCTTCTCTGCGTTTGCTAATGTTTTGTGACATAAAGCCCTGAGATTAATTTTTTGCCTCTGTCTTAATTGAAGGAACCGTTTACTGCCGATTTAACTATTATTACCAAATCATCAGGATTGATGCTGTGCACACGCGTGCTCGCCAATCGTGTTTGGAGGAGCTCGGAGGATTTATGCAAATGGGCCTGCCGGGAGAGGCAATTTGTAGCCGAGAAGGACAATTATACCCGGCCCGGGAGTGCGCCAACGACTGCGCCGGGCGGGTAATGGATAATAACATCGCGCGGCAGCCGTGAGCAGCAGCGCAGCGTGACCAACGACTTTATACAGTGCAGATAAAGAGCCTTTTACGCAACGCCGCCCCGCATGCAAGGGGCCAGGGCTGGCCAGTGGCTCTGGTGGGGTGATGCCACAACCTTAGCCACGGCCAGGTTCCCAGAGTCGGTGCAGCCAAGCCTAGGCTGTGGCTTCCCAGGAGGGGGCGCTGATACTGATGGCCAGGCATGGAGAGAGGATGTCTGTACTGGGTTGTGTCAGTCCCCAACAGGGAAGGGCCCTCTATCTGCTGGACATTTGTCATGGCCTCAGGTTTTGGTAGGGGACACATGGCCTTCAGACATTGTGTGCAGGGAGCCAGCGGTTCCTAAAGCCAGAGAGGACCCATGATCCTCCGTGGTGTCCAGGCCTGTCCCACAGATCCCTCTCCAGACTCACTTAGCTTTCTTGCCGTCACTTCGAGCAAGCTGGCCCCCGGGACGCAGAGAGGGCAGCGAACTTGAGTACTTGCGCTTTCGTGGCCGACCAGGCCCCCGCCGCGCCGGGCTCCGTGAGCTCTCCTCTCTCCTGGGGGGGCCACAGAAAGTATGTTACACCTCAAAACACTCCACCCCCAGCCCATGGGAGAGAGCATCACCCTGCAGAGGAATGCTGCGGTCAGTAGTGCTCTGAGGGTAATGGCCGTCAGGTGGAAGTCAGGCTCAACTAGGTTCCTGCTGCCCAAGATCTGGAGCTCTAAGTGGGTGGCACCGTTTCTTGCTTTACCCAGGGACCTAACTGCCTTGTCCACATTGGTGGGGAAGCCCACATTGTCCCTCATGCAACTGAGCAGCAGGTCCCAGCCACCCCGTGGGCTCCTAGTCCTCCTCGGTCACACCCATAGCTGCTTCAGCCACCATTGCCCTTTGCCCTACAGCACTTTGTGCCGCCCACACAGGCTTTGCCCCTCTGCTTGGCTGCCTACGACTCAGGAGTACCATTCAGACCCCAGTCTCCAGGCTGCTCTGGCACAGCCCCTGCTTACAAGGTATGCATGCCCTACAGTGCCCCCATATGCTGAGCTGGTAGGGAACAAGGGTGCTACCCCTGTCCGAGCGTCATACTCATGGTCATGCCTGCGCTGCAGGCGAGCCAGCTCCCGCTGTTTCTCCTTGTAGCGCCTCTGCAGCTCTGCCAGCTGCACGCGCATCTCCACTTCCTGCGTGTCCAGCCGATCGATGGCAGCCTTCAGGGGACAGACCTGTGTGCAAGAGTTCGGGAACCTGAGTACCGTAAGCCTCAGCGTGGTGTGGCGGGACGCAGCCCAGGCATGCAGAGGTCTTCTCGTCTGTAAGCGGCTGGGCAGTGTTCTCACTTACAGGCTTGGTTTTAGGGGCCCAGGTGTCCTTGCGCTGCAGGATCTGCATTCTAGGGGTGAGCCTGGGGCCTCTGTCTGGGTCAGCGGCTGGGGCCTGCAGTGAGGTGACTGAGCTGTCCAGGCTAGCAGCCTCCACTAGGGACCAGGCTGTGGCCAGTGTGGCCAGGTGTTGCAGGTTGAAGGCCAGCACATCCTCATCCTCTGCTGGAGGGAGAGGGACAGGTCACTTGAGGCCCCCTCCCGGCACAGACCCACAGCCTCAGGCTGTGAGAACCAAGAGAGGAGTCAAGTCATAAGGAATGGCCCGCCGGCCAGGATACAGCTGGGGAGATCCACCCTAGGCCACAGCGCAGGGCAAGTGTGCCCTGCAGGCCTGCCACTGTTTACAGATGCCTGCAAGTGGGTGCCCACTCTTTTGGACACTGGAGATTGAGCAGACAGAGGATACTCAGGCCATGAACCAAGTACAAAATGAGGCAGACCAATGCTTCCCAAACCCTAGGCCCATGCGCCGAGCTATGCTCTGAAGATCAATGCAGAGTCAGAAGCAGCTACCGAGGACACATCCATCCACCCTCCCACCGGCATGTGTAATATCTAGGCAGCAGAGACAGAGAACCACAGAAGGCAAACGTGGATGGGACAGCGGGGGTTGGCTCAACACTGGGCCAAAGCTCAGGCCAGCAGAGGGACTGAGGACTCAGCATGGACTCAGGAGCAGAAACACCATGAAAGACTTCGGACAACTGAGTTGATCCCACAAGGACATCTAAGAGGGATCAGTGGAGCCCAGCGGGGTCTGAGCGGAAGTCATGGTATCCCCTTAGAAACCCTGGGACAGCAGCACTCCACCCACCGACCCCGTGGTAACGGTCACCCTATCGCTCTGGACACGAACTGACACCATTCTCCACTGGAAGGAAATCGGGCTCCTCAGAGACAACTGGGGCTGAGAACTGCAAGAGGACTCTGGGAGCAAGGAAGGATGTGCTGCAGAAGTGATGGGGGCATATGGAAAATACACAGAGACATGACAAGGGCGCCATCAAACCCAAACCCAAGCAATTCGGTCATCAGAGTAGTGACAGCAGTGAATCACTGTAGCTGGAAAGACTCTGAATCCAGGAGGGGCAACAAGGCCAGGATATCAATGTCCTCTGGGGTGTGCAGGGAAAAGGAGGCCTCCACAGCTTCACAGTGCTTATGCACTACTGAGGGGCAGGCAAGAGGGGCTGTGAACCATCTACACTACGGAACACAGGTGGCCGACGACAGCTGACAGGTGCCCCGGAGGACCTACCTAGCCTGAGTATCAACAGGAGGAAAAAGCGGTGAAGCCCAGCACTAGGTACCCCAGAGTAAAGGTGTTTACCTGTGTCAAGCACATGACGTAAAAGGGGTGCCCAATACGGGGCAAAGCCAGAAAACTAAGCAACAGTCTCCCTCAAAGGTCGCTCCTGTGATACCAGGAGCTACCTGGAGGGGAAGCTGGCAAATGCTCAAACTGTTGGGCATAATTTTTTTTTTTCTCGCCAAGATCTCTACCTGGGAGACCTTCCAGCTTCAGAGACAGATTTGGGCCCCAAGCAAAGAGAGGGCAGAAGTCTGGTTTTCTCCTTAGAAGGCAGACTTTTTATCACCAGGGAAGGCTTGCTGTAAACCTAGGTCAGATGTGAGCCCTTCCTTTGCTGTCTCGAGGCCCGCACTTGGCACCGATAGCTCTGCTGGGCTGCCCAAGGGTCTCCCTTTTATTCTGGTGCCGGCAGCTGACTCCGGACCTACGGTTCCCATTTGTCTCTTCTAAGACGGTTTGGTGGAAGCTGATCTGGTTGATTCCAGCCACAGCAGCTATGCCTGGTAAGCCTACTGTTCCGGCAGTGGCCTAGGATCAGCCACTGCGTGGCTGGGTATGGTGGGCAAGGCGTGGTTTGTCAGCTACAACACACACACTCTAAAGGCAGTCACTCAACGAATGGGCTCTGGTCTTGTCAACATTCCCAGGCAGTGTGGCATGTGCACACCTAGTGCCCAGCATCTGACTGGTGACCCATGAGCCCCCCTCCCGCTATTGCATGACCTTCTTATGGGCGGCCCTGGACACTTGGCCTTGATCCTGGGACTTCCACATTACTCAAGTGAGGCCTCAGCAGAGATCAACCAGGGTTCCTGGATCTCGTCCTCTCTACAAAGCCCAGCAGGCGGTTCCTCTAGTCTGTACTTCCTGGAACTGCCCATCCACTTTCCTCATGACTCTTGTCCAGGTAGGTCTGAGGCTAGGCTACACTGCAGCCCCCAGCTGAGGACAAGGGTCTTGGGAGCTTTATGCATCAGGAAAACAGGCTGAGCCCGAAGACTCGGCTAGTTCTTTCTATGAACACTCCGCTGCACAATGGCTGGCTGGGGTACTCCTCAGTGAGGGGCTTCCTCTGTAGCCACAAGGGGAGGTGCCGTTTCTGTGGGCAGTGAGGAGCGGGGTTTCGAGTGCAGGGGCAGCTGGGGAGCTGTGTGGGGTCTTCCTGATGAGTAGAGACTGTAACTTCGGGCCTCATTCTATTAGACTATCTTAGGGCCTTTAGGTGGTTGGCTGGGCGAACTTAGGAACTCTTGTTCCAAAAGTCAGCCTGAAGCAGGAAGACCTGCAGCCGCAGCCGCAGCCACAACCACGGCATGGTGGGGTGTGTAAGAAGCCTTCTGATGTCTGGGGGCTCAGGGATCCTAGTCTGGTGCCTCTGCTCAGACAAAGCAGTAGACTGGAGACTCCTGGCCCCTTTCCTGCTACCAGGCCCTCATCTAAACCTCTGCCTTAGGCCTCAACATGTCCTCCTCAAAGTGAAGACAGTACAGAAGGCTGCCCCAGCGCCTCTATGGCTTGAACCTGCCACAGAGGAGTGATCCTGGCCCCAAAGGTCCTGACCAGGATCAGGTGGCTCCTCTAGGTGAGAGTGTATCCTATGGCAAGTGGTACGCCTGCATCTGATTTCTATGAAGGGAAGCCCTGGGGCTTCCCTTGGGATTTCCTTTCTTTAGGGACAGTTGCTCCAGGCCAAAGGCTACCATCTGTCTGACCCTGAGGGTCCAGCTCTCAGGGTGCCAGGGAAGGATGCTGAGACTGGGGCTCACCTTGGATGGTCATCTCACTCTTCTGCCGCTGGATCTCCAGGTCAGCCAGCTCACTGAGCAGGGCAATCCCATGAATCCCTGAGCTATGGGGCAGAGAAGCTGTGCTGAGAGGCACAGAGGCTGCTGGGGTCTGAGGGTCTGGCAGGCTGATGTCAGGCAGGTCCCCTATGTCCACGGTAGCAGCCACCAAGACATCCAAGCCTGGCAGGGCTTTGGGTGGGTGGCTGTGGTTGGGAGTCCCCCAGTCCACTTCCGAGTCCCCAACACTCTCCTCCAGCTGGGTTTCCTCCTCCTGTAGCTGGGCCACATCGGGGACCTTTGGTGGACCTTCATCCTTGTCCAGGGCAGCTGGGCTCCCTGTTACCTGTTCCAGTGCTTGAGGGGTAGCCCCCAAAGGGGGCTGTGGTACCCCCTGATCCACAGTCCTCTCATTTTGCATCCCTCCCTGAGTAGAATTAGTCTGGCCAGTAGCCTCAGTTCCCCCTCCCTCGAGGAGGTCTCCAAATTTCAGTGCTTGTAACCCCTCGAGTGGGTTGGGGTCTTCTGCCTTCCCTGGTGGGAGTCCCCCCTCAATAGGAGGGGGTAGGATGGCAAGGTCCTTGGTGGCATCCCTGGTCCTTGAGAGCAGCCCAGGCTCTTCTAAGTTCCTGGGGCTGCAGGGGGGTGGCTCCCCAGGTAGGAACGTCCTTGTGGGCTCCGGCCGAGTCCCTGGGGTAGTGGTTTGCATAGTTTTGGGGTCTGGAAGGTCAGAGGAGTGCACGTCTGAAGGGAGGGAGAAGTCCATGCCAGCTGTGGGGGTCAATCCTGGAGGCAGTTCTGTAAGAGAAGGCACATGTGAGGAGCCAGCTACCAAGGGTAGAGGAGGTGTGGCCCCACTACAGGATGGAGGAGGGAGGCTTCCTGGACTAAGGGACAGGAGACATGGGGATGAAGGGTCAACAAGAAGACAGGCTTCAGAACCAGTACCAGCCCCAACCAGGAACCCGCAGAGCTCCTTGGGGGCACCTCTGGAGTGGTTGTCTGGAAAAGAGGGATTTTTAAACCACGGTGCTTGAACTGAGGTTTTTCCCTGAACGAGGACAACCATGTCAGAGGTATTAAGGTCAAACACAAAACCTCTGCTGGCTCCGTCTCCTTAGGGGACTCGGGACAGGTTTTATGTCCACCCAATGGGTTTCTACAGCCTGATTCAGAGAAAACCATAGGGCAGCAAACACAAGACCCCAGTACATCCACATCTCCTCCCCTTGGGCAGGGCAGACTATTTCTCTGGCCCCCAGCTGGTGACTTTGTCCTGTCTCTCAGCTCTGTTAAAAATGGGCTCACTGGCTGGGGACAGGTCCTGAGTCTGATGCCACCATCTGTGGCAGTTCAAGCATGCCACCGCTCACACTGCCGGTTGGGTCACGGAGGTGTGAGTCTGGTTCTTATTTTGCCCCATCTACGCAGGGTAAAGATGGGCCTATGGCAGGGTCATCACACTACCTCGTGGATCGTAAGGACTACCAAGAGGGAAAAGGAGAGGAGCTTCATGCCTACATGCACAGCCCTGCCCAACCAGTGGGGGTAGGACTTGCCAGGCCAAAGAGACTCACTCCCTCACCTGGGTCCAGCGTGGTAAGGTCGGTTCCAGCCCGCTGGCCCTCCTCACTCTTGTCCTTGGTACTAGGCACCTTGGAGCCAGGCCCTGGGCTGCCAATAGGGCAGATGGATAAAGTGCAGGGGGCGCTGGGCCGAGGTGGCGGTGTGGGGCAGCTCGCGGGGGTCTTCAGAGTGGGTGACTGGCAGCAGGGAGAGAGCTTGACCAGGCCTGCGGTGGCAGATGAGGGGGTGCCCTTGGCCATGGGGGTTAAGGCAACTGGCTTGTGGGTGGACTTTGGGGCCTTCTCCTGGGCAGCATCCTCTAGTTCCACATGGCGATCTTCAGGCTTGCGCTGTCGTGGGCGTGGGGGAAGACGCTCAGACGGCCACACCCTTGGTACCCCTGTGGCCCACTGCTTGGTGAGACACGTGCGGGGGTGTCCTGGGGCCATCTGCATGGGACCCGGAGGGGTAGAATTGTCTTGGAAATCAGGTTGGGGTGGCTGCTGGGGACATGGTACCTGGAACTGAGCGACTCGCTGTAGTTCCAGGGCCTGCGTGGCCCGCTGCTGCTGCTGCTGTTGCTGCTGCTGTTGCTGCTGCTGCTGCTGTTGCTGCTGCTGTTGTTGTTGCTGCTGCTGCTGCTGCTGCAGTGCATACAGCTCTTGCTGCCGAAGCAGCTGGGACCGGGAGTACACAGGAAGCTGGCCAGGGTGCTGTATGTGTGAGGCAGGGCCCCGGGCCCCATACATGGGGGGCCACAGTGAGGCCTGGTCCATCACTTCAGCTACAAGCAGGGCCAGAGGACTATCAGTTCCAGTCAGAGATAAAGGGCCCAGCTGGGCCAGTTTCCCTCTTATCCACCAGCTCCATTCCCCTGCAGCCCTTCTGAACCCATCCCTACCCGTCCCTGGGGAGATAAGCTACAGTTCTCTCCTGGGTCCGGGTCAGCCATATTCCTGCCTCCCCCCCCCCCCCCCCAGCTCCCATACCAAGACTGCTGCTGCCCTCCTCAAATCCACTGCTAATGCCCCATGTGAAGATAGCAGACTGGAGAGGAGGGTCCTTACCGAGTGTGTGAGGGGTGGTGTGGGGAGTGGGTTCTGAGGGCAAGATGACCAACTGCGTGGCTGCATCTTGGGGCAGGGGGAACACTGAAGGCATGGAGCCGGGCACAGAAGCTGGGAAGCCAGGGGGTAGATTCTGGTGCAGGGCAGGGTGTCCGAGGCCTGAAGAACAGAAGAGTAATTCAGGCCAGAGAGCCTCCGTGGCTTTCCGACTTCCTGGTGGCTCAGCCAGGACAGGATACCCTCCAACCCCAATCCAGCCTCCCAGTCTGCTCTTGGGAGCACTGACCATAGGAATGTCCCCCCATCCACAAGGAGGGACTTCGGGTGCGGGGCAGCCAGTGGGGGTGGGCGGGATGAGGGTGGGGGGCTGGGTCGCCGCCCAGCTGGCCCCCTTGCATCATGAGGTGGGGAGGCAGGTCTCCAGGGCAGCTGCTTGAAGGGTGGATCCGGGCAAACTCCATGAGGTCTTTGTTGTCTCTGTAAGATTAACAGCCAGCTTGGCCCCCTCCCTTGGCCCGACCAACCCCAGCCCCTCAACAAGACTGACAACCTGCAAGGGGAATTGGAGGTGGAAGGCTCCCGGGAGACCCCAGGCTCTGAGCCTCAGTTTCCATCAGTGTCACTGCTGTTCACAGGGTAAGTGAACAGGACCCTTTGGGAACGTTGGAATGCTGGGCACATGACAGTCCAGTGCCCGATGTCACGATTGTGACACTTCCCTTCCTCCCACGAGGGCTCTGATAGGGCAGAGCCACCAGGGGCCTCCACTCAGCTCTTACTGTAACAGAAGTTCACGGCCAGGCAGCCCCAGGCGCTCCTCGCATGCCCGTGACCTCTCCTCCTCAGTCTCCAGGTCCAGCGTGTGAGTGGCACGAGGTCCTCCAGCAGCTGACCGAGCAAAGATGGCAGAGAAACCAGGCTGTGGTACAGCCAGAGAACCACTAACTAAAGCAAGCCTGGGGTCAAGGTTGAGGGACTAAGGCAGGCTCCTCTGGCCCTGGGGGCTTTGGTGGGACAGAGGTAGGAAGTCCACAGGGTTCACAGGAAGAATCGCTATGGATACCATCTACCTTGCTTCCCCAACCAGGAACGTCATACCTTTGAAGGTGGGCGCTGCCCTGCCCTGCCGCCCACTGTTGGTGTTGTAGGCTGTATCGGGCCGGCTGACTGTGTCCTTCTGCCGGGCTAAGGCCACCGCGATGCCCACGGGTGGCTGCCGCACCTCCCCGTCTCCATGTGGGGCCTCATGCTCCCTGCTGCGGGCGCAGTCGGGTCTCTCCACTGGGCCTGGACCCTTAGTGGCTGGAAACTTGGCTTCCTGCTGGACACAGCTGGCTTTCAGGCCACCCAGGCCCACAAATGGAGCCTTCTGGCCCACAACCAGGGCTTGGTTGCTGTACTTAAGCAGGTTCTTCATGGCTGAGACCTCATCTGGTGGAGTAGGCAGCTCCTGGGACAGGAGGGCTGCCTGCTGTAGACCACTTCCGAAAGGATCAAGGTAAGCACTGCCCTTTCGTTCCTCGATGATGGCCATGGAGGTGTCGTGGCCTGTCTGAACACCCCACGGAGCCATATGGTGCCCACTAAAGCCCAGAGAAGCCAGCTCCACGGACTTGCGTTTCGTCTCAGCCCCGCTGCCTCCTGATTCTACTTCAGGAGCCACCAAGTGCTGCTGATGCCGGATCCTGGCTACCTTCTGGCCCCCTGGAGGGCCAGCAGGGGCCTCTTTGTTGGCCACTTTGTCTAAAGTGCAGCAGGCCTGGGTGGCCTTCCCACCCAGTGGGTCTTGGTGATTGGACCGGGCACAGTCCTGTGAAGTGGGCAACTCAAAGTAGCCACTTTTGTCCAGACTGCCTTTGGGAAGTCCAGGGAAGGGGGCCTCAGGGCCTGAACTAAGATACTCCAGGCCTTTCAGCCGGGGGTGGAGGGCTGCCTCAAAGCTCCCGGGTCGCCGTTCGCCCTTGCCCTCGGCCTTTAGGTGGGCATAGGAGACTCCATAGGGTGCACCATGGTCGGGGACCATGGCCCCATCCAGGTGCCTGTCCTTGCTATCACTTGCCACAGCACAGGCCTCTGCTACTTGGAAAGAGCGGCTCTTGTCAGCCAGGTGTCCCACAGAAGGCACAAAGGTGGGCCCGCTGGCCTTTAGGTCCCGGGAGACTTTGTCCTGCAGGGGGCAGAGCCCATCTGGACCTGCATGGAGCTGCAGGCAGGGGAAAGAGCCTGCTGGGCCTGTGCTGAGGGGCGGGGGTGGCCCAGTAGGAAGGCCAGAGGGTACCGTGTAGGACACAGCGTGATGCAGCATCTGCCGCCGCTCCAGGCACTCGCTGAAGGCTGGCCCAGGCTCCACAGAGCCTGCCACCTCCTTGGCACAGCGCCCCGGTGCTGCCACGCCCGTTCCAGGCCTGCCCAGCATGCCCCCTGCACAACTGGCCAGCGAGGCCTTGCCCATGTCTCCATTGAGTCCCTTGGTGTTGAGCAGACAGGAGGTGAGGTGTTTGGGGCGTCCCTCACAGGCTCCCCGGGGTGCAGGACCTGTCTCCTTGCAGGGCCCCTCGGCGGGCATGGGTGGCACCAGCTTCTGTCGATCTTTACCGACGTCTTCCTCCACTGCTGGCCGGTCCCTGCCCTCTGCTACCTTGCCAGCTTTCTCCTTACCCAGCTCTTTGCCCATAAGGAAGCGGTCAAACTCCTTAGAACCCTTCTGCAGTGAGGCAGCCTCAATGCGGTCCCGGCTGCAGGATCCGATGGGATGGCCAGGGGTGGCTCGGGGCACTCCGGGGAAGTTGTGGTTGGAAGGTAGGATCGTAGGCTGTGGGGGCAGGTTGCGCAGGTAGAAGTTATCTGTGAACCAGAAATGCCAAGGTCAACAGGAAGTGTAGGGGCAGCGATGAGTCTCAAATAGTGTCCCCCAACCCGGGATTTTTTTTTTTTTTTTCAAATAAAAGAGGGGGCTGGAGAGGTGGCTTAGTGGTTAAGAGCACTGATCCAGGTTTGGCTCCCCGCACCCACACGGTGACTCACAAACCATCCACAACGCCAGCTTCAGGAGAGCTAACACCTTCTTCTGACCTTTGTGGGCACCAGGAACACACCTGGCGCATGTGCATACATGCAGGCAAAGCACGCATGCATAGAACATGAAATTTTAAAAATCTAAAAAGAATTTTTAAAATCATAGACACATAAATACAACATAAATCAGTCATCTTCAAGTGTTCAGTTAAGGGGCACTGAGCGCACGAACTGTGGGATCCTGGCATCACCACTACCCACAGCCAGAACCTTTCCAAACTGAAGTTTTCCTTTCTAGACGCTGGCCATCCCCTTCTCTCCTCTGTTTTAGCCCTAGGATCCTGGAGTTGCAGAGCCTTGGCCTGGTGTTTCCCTATCCAGCTCAGTATCTCTGAGATTTTCAGAATGGAGGTAGGTATAGATGGCTCTACAAAGTTCTAGCCGTGTGTAGCCCTGAATAAGGGCTGCCGTTAGCCAGGGGCATAGCGGCAGAGTGGGCGGTGCCTGTAGCTCTTGCCCGTCTCCCACACCAAATGCTCTGACTGCCAGGGTAAGAGTGAGCCCAGGTGTCTTAAGATGGGTGGTGTGGAAGATTCATCTCTGGGACGCTCTGAGGAGCTCTGAGGCTAATATGATTGGGGGACGGGAAAGACAATGCTCTCTGCTGAGAAACAACTGTACCTATTTGCACCCCAACCCTGGCAGCTGTAGGACATCCAGCTTGGGGAGGTAGTTCCTGAGGATATGCTGTCCAGCTGTGTGGGGTCCTGGATCTTGGGGCAAATCCTTCGTACTCAGGTAGGGTCAGCTCCAGGCTGCCATCAGTAAGCTCTAGGGACATTCACCCTTTGCCAGCCAAGCTGGAGCCACATCAAACCTCTGACAGACTCTGGGGGGCAGCCCTGCCTCCCCCTAGTCGGGTGGGTGGGCAGCAGGGTGAGGCCCTAGCTAAGGAAGGGCAGTAGGCAGGGAAACAAAAGAAAACATTTGCAACTTGTAAAACTGTCCTCAGTCATGTAAATTCCTTGTCAGTTTCTTCTAATTAGAAACAAGGGGGAAGGGGAGCAGGAAAGGGGTAGCCCAGGAGAAACCCAATTAGCTTAATTTCCCAAACCAAATAATGTTCTTGGACGAAGCTCCACCATGGTATTGTGAAAGCTGAGAGCCTGGCCAGCAGCCGCCAAGACACCAGTCAGCCCCGCCGCCCAGAGGGAGTCCTGGGCCCTGGTTCACTAGTCTGGTTTCTAGGGCTCAGACTAGACACCTGCCCACCCTTGACAGATGCTGTCAAAACAGCTGCAGGCACAGGGGATGAACGGGAGGCCGTGTGAGTAACGGCTTGGTGGACCCGGCCCACAAGTGTTCAAGTCTGGTTCCTGGGAGGATGTGGCAGGGCCATCTAGGATGACATCAGGTCCCTGGGTGGGGCTGGGGTAGACTTCCTGGCCACACCCCAAGCAGGCCAGCCTGCATCAACCATAGCTAGCTAGTCCAGTCAGAGCAAGGCCAAGGCTACTCTGAGCTTCAGGGCTCCAAGACTCTTCTGTGTCCAGATGTGCAGAACCATTTCAAGGACCCAGGCGTGACAGACACCCTCAGGTCCTCAGTTCACCTTTCTGGTCCAGGAGAGCCACCCAAAGGGACCCTGTACTCTGCCCATGTCTCGGTTCCTAATGGCTACCTTCTACACATCTGTTACGTGGGGAATTACCTCTGTCCAGCACCCCAAGAAGGCCCCTAGGCCTCTATCTCTAAGCTGGGTTTACCTCCTCAAACTGGTGGTCCCTCCCATACCCTGGGCTGGAAACCAGAGCCATAAGGAATACATAACCTTTGCCCTGGTATATACCCCCTTACGTAACTAATTCTGGCCTTACGGGACTCTTTCTGGGTTCCTGTCTTATATTGCCATGGGGTCACCTGAAACTGAAACCAAGTCCCTAATCCAGTCCCAGCCTCTAGCCACACCACAGGAGAACATCCTTAAATGCAAACAGACCCTCAGAAACAAAACACCTCCACCTAGTGACAGAACCTGAGATCTCTGCTCTTTCCCCTCCCCCCCCATCCCACCCCTACCCCCTACCTCCTCTAGTCAGGAGTCTTGCAGATTCCCAGCTGGAAGCTGAGTCACTTGCTCTTGCAAGACCTACATGAGGAACTGTCTCAAGGGGTAGGGCTGGGGCAGGTGCTCCTAGCAGTCTAAAATCAGCTCAGTGGTCCCCAACACGTGCCCAGAGTCCATGAGGAGGGAGTCAGCATGGCTGTTTCAGTGTCCTCAGTGAGCAGTGCACCTGCACCCTGTACCTGCACCCTGCACCTGCACCCAGAACCTGGCAGTGGTGCCAGGACATCCTCCTCTGGGTCCCACCTAGCCTGGGGAGGAAGGCTCACCCAGCCTGCTGCCTTTACTGGTACCCCTTAAGCTCAGCCTCAGGATGCCTGCACCCCACGCCAAGCCCCACAGCACTTGCCTTTTTGGGTTCCATAGAAACGATGTTGCCCATAGAGAACATTGCTGTTTCCATGGTGATCCAAGTGGCTCACGGGTAGGAAGGTAGATGCCAGACTCCCCGAAAATCTGGGGTACGCAGGAGCTAGGGAAGCAAAGCACTGGTTGTAGAGACAATTCTTAGCTCCCCGGCCCTTACCATCCTGACCCCAAGGAGACAAGAAGCATGCAGGCAGCCCGGGAGCAACACCCCGCAGAGTCGCTCACAGCCCACCAGTGGGAAATCAACCCATCAATACATCATATTAACTCTGACTCGACTAATACCATCCCTCCGGTGCAGCACAAATTGAATTGCTGACGGGCTAGGGGCTGGAGAAGGGGGGAGTCTGCCTTTGATTCCCTCCCAGGAGCACTTGGTGTGGCAGAAGCTTCCAGGTCAGGCAACAAAGGAGCTCAGAGAGGCAGCCTGAAAGGAAGGGTGCAGTATGGACTCTCCATGAGTTCTCAGCTCAGAGAGAGGCAAACCAGACAGGGCCTCCTGCCTGCAGCCTCCACAGGCACCCAGAAAAAGCAGATGGTATGGTAGAGTTGGGCTACACCACAGCTGGTCTGGGTGACTCACACTCTAGCTAGGTGTAGCTAGGATGTGGCCAGTTCCCACTCACTGGAAGCCACAAGTCTCTCCCCTCAACTGAGCTCTCTGTGGAAGGGCAGCATCTGCTTATGAAACAAGGTCCTAGGCATGGCACGTTGTGAACAAGGCCTTAGCACCAACTGCTACCTGGCCACTTTAAATAGTACAAACAGGCCGCTCTCAGGCTGTGTTTTGCCCCTCAGAGGCAGCCAAAGTTCTGAAGGGCTGTGTCTACCTAGAGCCAACCCTACCGTGTTGACCTTGGGCCTATAGTGTTCTAAGAGTCCCCTGGAACACTGTCCCTTTCCCCCTGCCCCAGGAGGTCCTGGCTTGCTAGAAAGATGACTGGGGTCTGGCAGCAAGCCCTGGGGGAGGGGCGCAAAAGCTGCAGCCCGGGGAGATGACACAGTGGTTAAGAACATTGGCTGTAGCTGGACAGTGGTGGTGCACACCTTTGAATCCAGTACTCTGAAGGCAGAGACAGGTTGATCTCTGAGTTCGAGGTCAGCCTGGTCTAACTTCCAAGGGCAGCCAGGGCTACATAGAGATACCATGTCTTGGAAAACAAAAACAAAAAAAGAGAACACTGGCTGTTCTCGAAGAAGACCTGGGTTCAATTCCAGCACCTACAGAGTGGTTCACAACCAACCCATAACTCCATTTCCAGGGGACCCAACATCCTCTGATCTTAGTGGGTACCAGGCACACATGTGGTGCAGACATAACACGTAAGCAAAATACACACATAAAATAAAAACCAGTCCCGCTAAGATACTTTTAAACAGGACAAAAAGCTGCAGCTCTGTACAGGCTTCCCTTGGGAGGCTCTGAACTGGAGGACCAGAGGACCACTGCCTCTAGGATTATGGCTTCCTGGCTGGTCCTTTCCATCAGGCCTGACAAGAGCATAAAGACCTGGACCTCCATCAAACCCATCCGGGAGTCTTGGCTGCTGGTAGCTTCTGACCCTACCCACTGCTGTCACCAAGACAGCTGCTAAGATATGGGGGGGGACTTAAGTCTCCTTCAGCTTAGCTTACTGGCTTTCTCTGCTAAATGGAATGAGGGATCTTTAAGGAGACTGGGTCACACTGAAGGTATTCTTACGAGGGACCGCATGTCCTCAACACCAAGGTCTTCAGCCAATTCTGCATGAATGCAAAGGCTAAGCAGGGTGTATGTGGGGTTGCAGCACTCTGAGGCCTGCTGTGAGCGTTAGGCAGAGATGGAGGGTGAGCTGGGAAACCTGGAGGATCAACTCAAGAAATGTTCTGCCGGTACATCCGGCATTTCCCCGTACTACAGACAAACTAGAAGCAGCCGGACTGGGCTGGAGTTGGGCTTCACATGTACGCTGTTCTGCCTGTCCCCATGGAGATCAGACCAGAGAAGAGCTTCTCTCTGGGGACACCACTGCCATCCCAAGAGTTTCCCAACAGTCTCACTTCTCAGGCAGTGCTGGACCAGGACAAGGGAATCCTTTAGTCTCTTCCACTACGGATAAGCAGAGGGGAGGAGGTGGCCATAGTCCCTAGGGAGGAACCCAGGGCAAGAAGTGCTGTTATTTGATAAAGGGTTCTTGAGCCACAGGCACCAGGACTCGCTCAGTATCACAGTGGAGTCTCGGATGTACAGTCTCGCAGCCCAGCCTCACTCAGGCTGGCTTTACTTTGTTTCCTTAATTCTTTTACCACAGAACGCCTGTCTGTCCCTTGTTTCCAAAAGCTGATTTGCTTGGATGCTGAAGTAGAGGAGCCTCTGGCATGGGGCCAGGCAGCTCTGGAGCATCCCTGGCACCCAGCGCAGGAAAAGCACTCAGAGCTGGTAAACAGTGCACAGCAGACAGACACGAGTCGGGAGCAGAGACCACCCCAGAACTCCCACTGCAATGGGTCAGACCCCTGACTAACAACACTGTGAGACAGTCCCCACTTCAGTGGCTCTTTGGCACTGCACTAGGAAGAGATCTTTCCATCTGCGTCACAAGGCAGGGGCCTCGTGAAGATTCAGAGATTTCTGTGACACAGAAACCTGCCTGCGTGGTGTGGCACTGCTGCCCAGATGGAAGACCACACTGGAGGACTTGGGGACAGTGCCCACTGCCAGGCCTGTTCTCCTCTTGCTGAAGAGCAAGCCGAGGCTGAAAGAGCTACCCTGTTGGCCTCGTGTGTGTGGACACATCTGCAGCAGATGTTAGCCAGATTAAACTCAGCTCCTGGAAGACTTGACAAAAGCCAAGAGGCCCGGGTGGGAGCAGCTGGGCAGGGAGTTGGGGCCTGGGGGTGGGGTAGGTAAAGCACCGCAGCTGTCCCCCGTAATTGGCTGCTGTTAAATGTTTTTACGGGCCTCGTTTTTTGGTAAACAGAAGTCTGTAAATTCCTCCTTACCAGACAAGGTTTCCAGGCACAGACACAACCCCCCTGATGAGGCCCGGGCCTCTCCCTGATCTCTGGGGGGCAGTGGACACTTGGCTAACTGAATAAGGGTGCTTTGGGTGCCATGAAAAAGTTGGTGGCTACCACTCCAGGGAGTGGGGCTGAAATCTACCGGCTATTTTGGTGCAAGGGGGTTCTTCATGTCCTAGATGGGGAACTGCCTGGACAAACAGCAGGAGTAAGAGGGGCGAAGAGCCCCGGGGAACACAGTGAGGAGAGGGGGGTCCTCTTAGCCCAGCAACAGAAAGGCCTTTCTTTTCCCCAAGACTACTCCCCAAACTGAAGAGGAAAATAGAAACTGACTTTCAAATCAGAGCAGCTGCTCTGAGACCGGAAGCCAAGGCAGGGAGATCCAGCATCCTGAAAGGACCAAGAAGACCAAGCCTGTGCTGAGAGGATCTAGGGAGGATCCTGGTATGGGTGGCCTGGGCATCAGAGAGAGGACCCTGGGGCAGAGAGTGCCTCACAACTCACACTTCTGACTAGCAGGTCTGCTTAGCCCATTCCCCTGCTAGAAAGTCCAGACCCCAGGACTTCCCTTTCCCTACAGCCTCTGCGGTTTCTCCAGTGATCACATGATGAATCTGAGGCCACCTGCTGCCTTGGAACTCCTGGCAGACTTGTGGAAGCAGCCCTGGGTAGGTGCGGAAGTTAGGTTTAGGACGCGTGCTCCATCCTGCCCTACCTAGGCTGCCACAACTACCGAAGCCCCCGGTGATGGCAAACGTGAGGATTCCTGATCAACAGGCAGAAACAGAAAAGATGGCTGGTACTGAGACCACCTAGAAACAGCCTTTAAATGACAAGGCAGTAGGGCAGGCAGGTAAACGGACACCTGGGTAGGGAAGCCATAAGACGGGGGCTCTCTCTGCCCACCCAGAAGGAACAGGTAAGGAGGTCTTCAGATGGACTACAAACCTCCACTTTCCTGGGGCCTGAGGGATGGTTCCTGCTCCTCAAGTGCCCTGTCTCATGTTTCCTGCTACTTAGGATGCTACCACAGGAGGATGGTAAAGTGACTTGGGGCTAGCCCTCTCCCAGATGCCTGCCTTTCACTTACAGCCAGTGATTTCCACCGCAGTTCATTCACTGGCAGAAAATCCCAAAGCTAGAATCTCTTGCCGCTTAATTGACTAGTAATGTCTGCCCTGGGAACAGGCAGGATGTGGCCGCCAGTTCACAGGACACTTGCCATCTCTGCCATCACTTTAGAGACTGAGGGAGTAACCTAGCAACAGCCCACGATCTCTCAGCCAAGTGCCCCTCCTTCAGGGTCTCTTCACCCTATTGAGTCGGACTCCTAGTCATCCAGGCCAGGATTTCAAAGTGCAGCTCCCAGGACTGGCCACCCAAGTGGCTGGAGATTAGAAAGGCACCCTTCAGGGTATGTCTCCTCCCTGAGGCTTGCAGAGTGCTGACCCACAACTGCTCAGGGAACAGGGCCCTGCAGTCTCCATATCCCCAGGCTGAGAGGAATAGCTAAGTGCCCAAGGAGCCAGGCTCCCATGGGCAAGCTGCCCTGGATCCAGAGAGACAGCCTTCTACATCACAGAGAGGCGTCTGGCCAGTAGGCAGGATGAGGGGGATGGGGAACTCCACTGATGATGGGCAAACCATGGCACAGGAGTATCCTGGATGTGGCACCAACACCTGCTAGCATCTAGGACAACACTCCTGCCACCCACAGCCTCAGCCACAATCCTGGGTGGTCCACTGTGCCGGAACTCCACTCATGGGCAGTGAGCAGGTACATCTGGCTGGCAACTGTTTTGCCCAGGTTGGACTCCAGGGTCTAGGAATAACTTTGCCTAGTGACCATGGCTACTGCCCATCCCTCTACCCCCAATATCTATCTGAGGAAGGGTGCAGAGAAAAGGAGCCATCTATAAAGCACTAGTCTTGTGTTGTTCTGTATCCAGGCAACTGTGATAACCAGTGTGCTTTACAGGTGAGGAAACAGGCTCAGAGCCTCTGAGCACGGGAACCTAAGGCTAACACAGCTCTAGAGGCTGTGAAAGAGTGTGAAACTCTGAGACCCTGAAGCTGCTTCCTGCTGGCTGTAATAAGGCTGGCTATAGGTATTCTAACCATTGGAACTCCCTGATCCCCAGGGCAGGGTCTAAGAGTTCACTCCATGATGTCCTTCAAATCTTAGGGTGGCCTAACTCGTCCAGCAGCTCCTCTTGGGTAAGGATGGGAGCATGTGAGGTTTGGAGGGCCCAGGGTGAGGCAGAGGACTCAAGTTCTGTTCCCAGCACCTGCATCTGATTGCTTACAACTACCTGTAACCTAGCTCCAGGAGACCCAGCGCCCTCTTCTGGGCTCCATGGACAGCCACACTCACACGTGTACATACCCGCACACACTCACATAGAGAGACCCATTCATACACACTGTTAAAACTAGATCTTAAAAGATAAAAAAAAAATAGAGGAGAGATTGCAGGGTGCAAGGGCTCATTCCTACACAGGCAGCGAGGAGGCAGAGACCATGAGATCACTGCAATTTAGAAATCAGATTGGTCTTCATAGCACGTTCTAGGCCAGCCAGAGTTACATGGCCAGTCTGCTTCAAGAAAACTAAACGAAATAGAAAAAGAAAGGGAGAGACCATCCAGAGTCTGAAGAAATAGTGTTAGGGCAGGCGCAGCCACTAGGGGGCAGTTCCAGGGGATAGAGTCTGATGGGCCCCAGAAGCCTTTGGCCCACCCATGAGGGTGGATGTTGGATAGGACCTGTCTCCTGGATGGACATGTTCCAGCCCCTGCTTGCCCCTGAGGTAAGTCTTGGGGCCTCCTAAGGTATTGAGGGAGACAGAGGGGGCTGGAGAAACGGAGTGTGTGGGGTCTGGAGGAGCAGGGTACACTTGGTGGTGGTTCCTGTGTGTGGCTCCTGTGTCCCTGGAATCCAGCCAGACACAGATGGAGAAGTGGCCACCAGGGTGGGTGTGGCTTTCACAGAAGCTGGCTAGGCAGGCAGCCAGTGCTGGCACGTGTACCCATGGCTCCCCCTCCAGGTGGCATAAGAGACCACGACTAGCAGGGCTGAGTCAGCTCCAAGCTCCTGTATCCATCCCCAACCCCCTAGCAACAGCATCCTCTTTCATTGCCCTGTGGGTGGTCCCCAGCGGGTGGGGGTGGGGGTGGGGCTCACTGACAATAGGGCCAGCTGTGCTGCACCACACCCCAGCCCAGTCCACTCAGGCCAGGTTGGCATCTAGCCACTCACCTCTGCCCCAGGCTAGTTCTGCTGTCCACCCTACCCCAAAGCCCTGCCGTCCATTTCTGGCAAGACCCATCATCTTGGGTGAGCCAAGGGGCCAGAAGGCCTGGGGCTCGACAAGAAGGTCCTGCTCTGGGCCAGATGTTTCAGGGCGGCTCCTCCAACACTAGGGTGCATCCCTTGAACCCCCAGCTGTTCCAGGGACACAGGAAGCCTGGGCCCCCGCTCTACAGCTGCCTTACAGATGGTGAGGAGAGGGTGTTCTGACAGAATCCCTGTCATGAGTAGGAGGGCACCTATGGCTAACTCCCACATGAAGCTAGCCACTCGACAGCCCTATCTGCCTGGCCTACCTACCCTAGACACAAGAAGGCTCTGGGCAGGAAGGAAGCAGTAAGCTTAGTTCGGCTGAGTTCTTGCGTCTCTCCATTCTAGGGGTGGTTTAAGGGAACAGGACAAGGGTAAGGCTGGGCCTCCTGGCCTATTGCCCAGGAAGCCCCCATGCTGGTGGCCCCCATTCTTTGGTCCTGTCGCGTGCCCCCTGCCTGCCTTGCCCCCCGCCCTCCTGTACACACATGGCCGAGAAGTAGGCCCCAGCACGTGGAGCCAGCTGGCACCCCGTCAGACTAGCAGCCAGGCACGCTGCCAGGGCAGCCAGCCAGACTGCCACTCGCTCCTACCCCGCCCGCCCTGGCCTCTACCGCACAGAGCAGGCTGCACCATGTGGCCTGTCAGGGAGTACGGCTGCAGACGTAGACAGGGGAACCCCTACGGGGGGGGGGGAACACCCTAGGGTGGGGAGGAGCCGATGTTGAAGGGGTAACCTGAGGCTCAGGCCGGAAAGGTATGCGTTGTCATATGACTCCAGACAGATGTGGACTTGCCGCCACTCTCTTGGGACTCAGAAGGTTGCAAGCCTGCACTTCCCACTCCAGGACTGCTGCTTCTCCACACACCTGTCTCCAGCGCGCAGTGGGCCCTGTGCTCTGCTGTGTGGAGCCCTGAACAACCTGCCTCTTGTACTGCATGCACCTGTGCTGGCCCTCCTCTATCTGACTCTGGGAACTTTGTCTTGCACCTGCCACAGTGGGTGCCCAGCAGCGGGTAAAGAAACTCCTGCTGTTCTTGGAGCTGGTCTCAGAGACAAAAGCTCTCTGCCTGTGACACAGTCAGGCCTCTATTCCTGACTCAATGCAGAAAGGGGGACAGACCATGAGTAAGTGGCAGGACAGAGCAGAGGACACTCCATGGTGTACTGCCTGGATACTGGCTTTCAACAGCCGAGTGGGCAACCCTGAGGCTTGGCCTTGAAAACAAGACCTGCAGAGGCTGGGCCTCATCTAGGGTCTGAGGTTTGAGGGTGCTTAGGATGGGTCATAAGAAATTCTACCAGACAACTGTTGGTACAAGGGGAAGTAAATGGTTGTGGGCGTCGCCAGCAAGCCTCTACCTATTGTGGGCCAATAAGAAACAGAACTGGGCTCTAGAGCAGGTGGTACCACCCACGGACTGCCCTTCTTGCTGGTGGTGTCTCTGGGGTAGGATGGAGAGGAAACAGGTATGTGTCTCTACTGAGTAGGACCAACATTCCTGGGCACTGATGGGCCACTGTTGATTACAGAAATGAGGTCAGGTAGCCTGGGTATCCCAGTGCTCCTATAGTCAGTCTACGGGATGCAGCTCTCCTTGAGTAGCCTCCATTGCCTGTACCTCCTCCTGCTTGACCACTGTCATCCCTTCCTGTAAACATCCCGGGAGCCAGACGCTGTGGCCAGCTGGGAGATGCCCAGCAGACACAAAAGGCTGGTGGGAGAATAGAGAGTGTTTCCTGCAGGGCCTGGGGCCACCCACAGCTGGTCAGGGAATCTCTTACTAGGGCCCAGCTCTGCCAATCCTGTCTCCACCCAGGATTCTACTGGGAGGGCAGGAGAAGAGAGCATCGCCAGTGGGTGTGGGATGAAGACCCCACTCTCTCGATTTGGTTCTCAACACCTGGCTGGCCTACCCTGCACCCAGGAGAGAGTTGTTATCACTTGCCCAACATGTGTGTTCTGAGCGGAGCCCAGAGACCAGATCACTCTAACAACTGTCCCTCACTTGTCACCTGTCCTGTTTGGAAAACAGCCCCTTCTTGTTGCACAAAGAGAGGTTTCTCGGGCTTCCTGCAGTGCCGGGCGCTAATCTCACAGCCTAGAACTCGGGCGGGCTGTACGCCGTGTGTGGGTCCACTGCGCTCTGTAAACACGACGCCTGAACGCAGCAGTCATTGAGTTACGGCAGCGCCTGGTGCCAGGAGCGAGAACTCTGTGTGCCCGCTGCCAACTGCAATTACCTCCCGCGTGCCAGCCAGGGAAGGGGGGGTTAACCCTTCCTGCACCAAGGGGGATGCACAGTCGGTGGAACACAGGCAATGACCAGGCCAGGGATGTCGGGGACCCAGGGCCACCTTCCAAGTAATAAAACTGAAGTGCAAAGCAGATCTCAGACATCTGGACAAGGTGCATTATATTCTGGGAAAAATCCGGGAGAGGCCTGGAGGGCCCAACCGGGCTCTAGAGACCATTCTGTTTCATGGTGTCTGAGGGCAACAGGTACCTCTGAGGCGCCAGAGTGCACAGGCTGGTAGCCGAGACGGAGCTTTATCACAGGCAGGACTGGAGTGGGGGGTGGGAGCAACAGCCATCTCTGCCTGCTGACAGCTCTCCTTCCCAGCTGACACATCTGGAACCCATGCCTGCCTGAGTCTGGGGAGGTGGGGGCAGCCCATGGTGGAGGGCACAGCCCAGTCCGGCTGGCCCAGCTGTGTCCCACATTTCTTTAGTTCCCTGGAGTCCTCCCTGCCCAACATCTGGAGCACACATCTGGCCAGGACCAGTGCCTACTGGGGCCATCCCATTTCCAACCAATTACCACCTCCCCTGAGAGCCTTCCTCAGCAGGGATGCTTCCCCCACCCCCACCCCCAGCCCCAGCCCTAGCACACTTGACAGGGCCTGCCAGCAGGGCTTCTCCAGTTGGTCTCCTATAACCCTAGGGGACCCGTCTTACCTTCGTGGGAGTGGGAGAACCAGATCTGAGAGGTGGCAGGGTGAGATCCTCGGTAGGCTGGCTCAGAGGGAGAGGACGTGGGGCCACTGGGGTGTGCAGACGCTGCTGAGCCCAGGCTGCTGGTGAGGAAGCTGCCCATGAAAGAGGATGCTGGGGGGTTGGCCATCAGACGGCTGCTGGCTGTGGACACAGGAGCAGAGTGAATGTGCGGACACTTCACAGCACAGCCCCAGAAGCACAAGACCATTCCTCAAAGCCCTCCTCCAGAGTGGCCTTCAGGTACCCTTGCTCCCCCATGGCAGGAAAAGCTGTCCACACAAGTTTGTGACAACCACAGCCACTGTCCTGAGCCTCTGGAGCCTCCAGTGTTTTAGGAGTGTAGAACCCTGTTCTTTAAAACCACCACCTGCACCACCACCACCTACACCAGATCACCACTACCCACCAGATCACCACCACCACCCAGATCAACAACAACCCACCAGATCACCACCACCACCCAGATCACCAATAACCAGATCACCACTACCCACCAGATCACCACCACCACCCAGATCACCAATAACCAGATCACCACCACCACCCAGATCACCACTACCAACCAAACCACCATCAACAACTAGATCACGACCACCCATACCGTTATCTATCCCCATGACGCCATTCCTATCACCACTAACGACCATCCCGCACCACCAATAACAGATGTACCGCCACCGCCACCACCACGCCTATCACCGCCACCATGACCAACAACCCTATCAGTATCACCATCAGTAACCGCACACCCCAGCCGTCATTGTTCCTGTATCATCGTAAGCAAACACATCACCTCCACCATAATAACCGTATCACCACGAGTTCATTACATCACCACCAACTAGGTGCTTAGTGCGGCATCAAAACCACATTTAGGACGAATGGTGGACGGACTCCCCATGGGCCTTCTCATTAACGTGGCTCTCTGGCCGTGGCATTGGCATTGAAGGCTTCTCTGATGCCAGTGGACTTGTCAGCAAGCTTTGCCTCACCGAGAGGGCTCAGGTAAGGTATCTAGAACCAGCAAGGCCCCAACTGGACGCTGTGGGCCAGTGCTGTAGGGACAGAGGTCCCTGACCTGTGCTGGACAACATGGGAGAAATGCACCTTTATTTTACCCAGTGCCACTCGGCTAGTCAGGCAAGGGTCCCCAGTCCCAGGTGAGTAAGGGGAGACTGGATTGGAAGAAGGTGGACTAGTCTGGGAAAGAGTCCAGATCCACACACAGTATCTCTTTGAGTCTTCCGTGGGTCACTCGGGACCAGGCTCTGATGGAGTTGACATTGAGCAGAAGACAGTCACTTATCTGCCCATAAGAGTCCCGGGTTTCTCGGGCTGGGCTAGTGTTTTTCTCAGTGGCCTGGGAATCCAGCAGATGGTGAGCTGCCCCTGACCCTAGGCCAGTCTCCACAGCCTGCACACCCTCTTCTCCTCCCTACCAACCAGCTGCACCCTTCACTGGTGGCTGTCATGGTCTATGCCCTGTCTCTACCAGAGTCCAGCAGTCAGGGCCAGGCCAAGTAAGTCTCCCTGGTTGTCATGGCTACAGGCTCTGGTCCACACATCACATATGTGCACAGAAAGCCTCCTGCACACAAGGCTGTTCAGTGGGTGGTCTGGGCTGCAGTGCTGGTCTTTTAGCCCAGCATGTTGCCCTGGTACCTTGCTACTTCTGTCCCTGGGTAGGGAGCCTAGTGCATGGCCATCCCGGGTGGAGGGCAGAGCAGTGTTGGGTGGAGCCTGTCCAGCCCAAGGTGAGTCACAGTAGTAGCTTCCCGCCCAGGAGACAGGGGAATTGGTATATTGGTGATGCCTCATCTCGCCTGGCTTGGCCCTGGGAACTTCCCAAACCCAGAGTGACTCAGTAGGGAAGCAGTCAGGAGGGGAGGGGACTGCCCCTGTGGGACCCAGGCATCTCTACTGAGTTCCACTAGCTTCCAGCCTAGTGGTTAAAAAGTGGTTTCTTCCGCTCCTGGTCTGAGGGGATGTGTTGCACACTGGAGGAGACCTTAGACATGGCCAGAGGAAGGGTATGTGTGTGCTGCCCCGGGCAGGGCTAAAAGGGGTCCTCTGCTTTGTGCAGGCCCACGAAGAACATGCTAAGGTACCCCAAGAGCCAGGGACTTCCCGGACAAGACCACATGGCTGGGATTGCCAAGGAACCCAATCCAGACCACAGGCGTGTCCACGCCAGGGGAGGAGACTCCAGGCTGGGAAGGGAAGTGTTGGTCTCCCTGCCCTGCTCCAGGGACTGTGGGGGGCCATGCTTGTGGGCTGAGTGTGGCTACTCCAGCTGCAGACTTTCTGCCTGCCCCGCCTAGCTGGCCTGAGTCTCCCAGGCCTTTCTACTCTTCCTACCCCACCCCACCCCCACACCCTTTTAGGGAAGCACCGCCCATGGGAAGCAATGGAGTCCAAAAGTTGTGTCTGCAAAACCAATTTCTCCAGGATCTCAGCCTGGGAATGGAGCACCTGGAGTTCCCTCACATCATCGTGGACACAGTGGCCGCAGGGACGTGGGTCCATGAAACTGAGGCAAGGCAACGGCTCCCCCACTGTCCCCTGGCAAGGAAGAGGATCAGCAGGAAAATTCACTGGCCAAAATCCTACAGCTCCCCCAAGAGCCAGCCACTGGGTCTGGGCAGCTAGCAGGGTGTCCAAGCAACTAGGCCCCCAAGTCAGAGCCCAGTGTGTCTTAGGCCACCATGTTCCAACCTAGGAGATTGATCCCGAGCCAAAAAGGACTACAGTTGATGCTTTGCTCCAATGCTGTCTCAGAAGAGGGTCCTTCTGATTGGAGGCCTGACGGACAATACAACAGCCTGGTCAGCCCTATACCCCAGTTGAATAAAGGCAGAGGCTGCTCTGGTGAGAGGCTGGCAGACCTGTGCCAAGGTCTTCCAGCCCCCGGGCCTCATCACATTGGCCTGTATTCTGACGTGGGGGTCTCTTAGGGAGTTCTCCTTAACAGACGCTTCCACCGAGCCCATTAAAGCAGGGGCTGCTGCCTGTGGAGTCTGTGAAATTAAAAGGGTGGGGGCAGGATCGCAGACCCCCCCCCTGCAGGTTTCCACTCCTCCCCCGCCCACCCCATCATGTTGAAAAGTGAAGAGGGGAACACAGTGTGCTCACCCAGATACCACACACTGGTCCAAGCAGTAAAAGCAGCGGAAATCCTTAGCCCAGAGGCCACTGCCATGAGTGTTTCAAGGGACCCCCTTCTGGGCACTGGTGACCTTGGCACACAGTTCTCTTATGGCATAGCCAACTTCCTGGGACACTGCTCCAGGGGATTTCATTCCCTGCAGCAGTCTGGGGTGGCCCAGGCAGGGCCATATATGATCCTGACTCTGCCATCCTTGTTCTGGTGGGGGAAAAAAAAAAAAGAAAGAGAGAGGGAGAGATCCCACAGGCCTTGCCAGGTGGACAGCCTCATGGTAGGTAGCAACTGTTGTGGGCTAAGAGACACTGCTGGCTCCTCGAGGTTTTCCTCAGCCTACCCAGTCTCTACGCAACCCGAAAAAACCCAGGACCAGGGATCTGTGCTCCTATTGTCACCTACACCTTTGAGGACTGCGGTGATGGCCGTGTGCCAGGCAAACAGAGCCCTGGGCAGACCTGGCAGTCACCTTCTAAACTCTGCCTGCTGACCAGGAGCCAAGCCCAGACAGGGCTGCTGCAGTGGCTGCCTGGGATCCCAGTTCAGCTTGGGCCTCTGGCCAGGGCCATTGCCTGAGGCCAAGTCCAGCCAGGAACTAGGCTGAAGGCTCTTTCCTCTTGGCAAAGTCCCCTGTCTATGAGTGCTGGTTACCAGACTAGGAAGGACACTGGGGAGCCTGGTATAGTGGAGAGACCCAGAAAGGCTCCTGAGAGTGAGTTGGGGAGAGGGGGACTTCTTATATAAGGTTCTCAGATGTTCACACCAACCAAACTGGTCCCAGGTCTTAAAGAACAGAACGCATTCTAACCCACACGGTGGAGTCCCAGCCCACAGCCCCAAGGACCAAACTGAACAGGTCTGCAAAATGATGCATTGACCATCCAGTCACCCCTCTGCGGGACAAGACCGGCCCACTGCCTGAACATCTTCCCAGGAAAAATCTGGGAAGTATGAGGTGCTGTGTGCATGTCAGACCCCACCAACTGCTCTACTGGACTGCAGCTCTGGTCTCAGCTCCAGACCCACCTCAGCTCTGCCCAGGACACCATGAAGGCCTGGCTTGAATGTCTGGCTGGCTGAGAAAACCATTCTGGAAGCCAGCATGCCAGAGGGCCTACTTGACACACCTCAGGCAATGAGCGCAGAAAACACAGCCCCATTTGTGGGAGGCTGCTCTGTCCCCATGCCAAGGCCGGTGACCTGCACGGGGCCATGGGCCACACCTGGATCATGGATGCTTCCGGGCTGCCAGCAGCAGGAAGGCTCGGGAAACTGCTAGACAGAGCAGAGAAAGGCCTGCTCCGAGGCCCACAGCACCATACAGCCCTCAGATCCCTTTCTGGGAAGATGCTGTGCTACTGTGGAAGAGACTTCGTCACCAGGTTTGTCAGGCTCCTTGGAGGGTGGGGGGAGGGGCTGTCCATCAGCCACAGCACATGGCGTGAACAGATCCCTCAACTTCCCTTGGGGTTGCAGAGGCTGCAGTCCTGGCATATCCTGGTCAGCCTTACCTGTCAACCTGACACAGACTAGAGTCAACTGAGAGAAGCCTCTGCTGAGGAACTGCCTCGACTGGGTTGGCTGTGGGTGTGTCTGTGAAGATCTACCTTGATTATTAATTGATATAGGAGGGCCCAGGCTGGCCGCCTCATTCCTTGGGCACGTGGTCCTGGTGTGTGTGTGTGTGTGTGTGTGTGTGTGTGTGTGTGTGTGTAAAACCTAGCTAAACATGAGCCAGCAAGCAGCATCCATCCATGGTTTCTTTGTCAAGTTTCCTGCTTGAGTTCCTAGTTTGACTTTCCTCGAAGACAGAATATGACCTGTGAGTGTAGGCTGAATAAACCAAATAGTAAGGTTGTTTTGGGCCAGATTGTTTAATCACAGCAAGAGAATGAAACCAGAAAACCTGGAGATCTCAGTGACCACTGAGGCCATTATGTGACCCACAGGGGTAGCAACAATCTGCAATGCCTGGGAGACA